GTGCTGTCTTGAAAAATAAAGAAACTTCAAAAATGGGTCCCTTACAGCGCTTGCAAAACATGTAATTTTTTTAGACTATGATCTACCTAAAAAATAGAATAAAAATTTTAATTATAGATTGTCTTCTGACTGTAGACAAAAATTTGTTACTGTGTCTGAAAAAGTAATCACGCCTAGATTGAAAAATTTGTAAGAATTAAACAGGATTTTCAAAACTGTTGAAGATATCTTAATATTAGGTGCATTTACCATTCTTTCAGTGATATTCAGGCTTTTTTGTACTGCCTTGACAGATCTTTATTAGTGCGGCAGCTTCCAGCACATATCTGCTGCTCAGGTTTCTTTAAATGCACGGCTATTGTTGGAAGAGAATCTTCTTGCTCTTAATGTACGTACTGTCAGTCTTTCACTACTCAGGCAAGTCGAATTCCTCGATTGTCCTTAAAACTGATAATTCCATTTTAGAGGGATCAAATGATATCTTACAAGTCGAGAATACATTTTACTGCCACAAGGAGAAGGTAAGATGGCAGTTGCGCATTTAAAGTACAACCTTGTATACAAAATTATAAGAACCGAAATTAGTGTGGAGAGAAACGAAAAATAATTGCTAGCAGATAAGTGTGGAAAATGTTCCATCAGTGAAGCATCTATGACCCATCGCAATTCAATACTTTGCTTCTGCAGTCCTCTACTCGCGAATACAGAGTTATTTCTGGGTGCATTATTCAGTGCTTTAAAGCTGCACTACGTGCTTGAGTCGTATCGTGTTTTCTTAAATGACCGGAACAGATGGTGTTGAGGAGTTCAACTCTCTAAAAATTTTTCTTTCCAAACCACTTCTATGTTCAAATCATTGCCTACACAGTACTGAATTTTTCTTGTTTCACAGGTTGCCTTTAGCAAGATGTTCTTAAAAAGACAATTTTTCTGCTTCCAAAGTGTTCTATGTTTTATGAGCATACAATAAAATATCACCTGAAGCCTGTGTAGCAGCGAAAAAATATTGTAAAGGTGCTGTTTGTTTAGCTTTAAAACATTTTTGGCCTAATCAGCTTTTTTTTGTCAAAATACTTATTTAACTTTTAACACTGTTATCAGTGAACACAGCTTAAGCATTTTCTAGCATTCCGCGAAATGATCAGAACTGCAAGATTCTTTGATCCATAATACACTTCCAAATACCACGAATTCTTTCTCAGCACATTGAAAATATGATTTGATCAAAATTAATTGTATTTCCTGTGATTATGTTATACCTTAATACCAGTTTTTAAGCTTTATCAAAAATTGGATTAAGATAGTGCAGAAGCGTCAAGCAGGTCTTAAAACAAAATATAGTGAATTATAGTTTTTGTGTACCAGCGAAAGAATTTATTAACAGATAACGATGGTGTCTGTCCAAAATCACCATTGTTTACCAAAAATTATTCAGTTTTCTTTGTGACTAATAAGTACATTGAAAAAATTGCTGTGGGATTCATTATTCTTATGATATTGATAACTGCCAAAAAACATAATCAGACTGAAGTCGAAGCCATATTGCTAAAATTATTTTGTGCTTAAGTAAACACTAGAAAAAACCAGACTCTACTTTGTGGTCTTATCGGCAGCAATAAAAAAAAAACATTTTAAAATTCAGAACTATTAAAGTAGCGACTTCCATTTCAACATCTGCAATTTACTGCTACTGTTAATTTCTTAAGATTCAGGAACAACGCTCAAATGTGTTTCTTGATTTTTTCTTTTATTATAATACTGTAATAGAAAGAAGCGTTACCGAGTTTTGATCATCTGCAGTATCGAATCTTAATTAAAAAGAACTTAAACGATGTCGTTTTGCATCAAGTGGTGCTCTTCTAAGTTATCTTTTTAACTTTCTTTAAGTAATCTGTTTGAAAAACAAGTGAACTTTTATCACATATCTTCAAATAGTAAAATGTTATTAATTTCTTAAATTAGGTTTGCTACTAAAAGAACGACATGACTTTCTCAGCTTTTATTAGTGCTCTTTGTATATGCTACATTTCCTAGACTGAATTATTCTAAGTTTTCGTTTTGCTATGAAAAGACAATCTGAAGTTTTAGTTATGGTACATTTTAGCGGTAGTGCTAAACGCTTTTGTCATATAATTTGCCATGTATTCAGCAATGTACTTTTGGCTCTGCGTTGGCAAAATGTTTCTGAATTGTTTTTGCAACAAATTTGTTAGAGTGTCTGTAATCCTAATTATGTTAGCTGTTTAAAGTGAAAAGTAGATGCATTAAAATTAGATGTATTGGTTACTTCATTACAGAATTTTTTTTAAAAAGACGTTTTTTTCTTATTCTTTTCTTTGTTGTTCGTTTCTGGCTTGAAGTGTTCACACTTCAGTTTTTTTAATTAACAGTGATCAGGCTTGTCAGTTGATCTGTTCTTTTTTTTTTGGAAGAGGAAATTCTGCTGTAAAAAACGCTTCTGATTGACATAGGAAGCTTGATGTATGAATATTTTCGTAGGTCTGTAGATTTTTAAAGATGGTTAGACTTTAATGCTGTTTTTTTTGTTTATTCTTTGGTAAACTTTGATATAATAAAAGCATCATGTTCAACAGTGATCTATGCTTCTTCGCAATTCTGTTACTGTTTGAAAATCAGTGATCAAATTTTGAAAAGAAATTAAGACTGCAACTTTATGAAAGATGTTGTTTGATGTGAACTAATTCTTGATAAGAAATAATCTCCTCAAAAACATTTTGGACAGAGCAGGTGCTGGACAGGAGTACTTACACTGGATTTTAAAAACTGTTAAGGTAAAAGATCTTAAATATATCTCTTCATTATCAGTTTGTGTCAGACTGTGTCAGAAATTTCTGTCAGAAACGGTCCTAGAAATTTGAAGAGGAAAATAAATTTTACGAAAGGCAAATGAATTACACAGCTGACAATTTAAAAAGTCAACTTTTATTTGTATAATGTTAGGTTCATGTTTGCGAGACTTTTTGAAGCTTTTTAAACAGAACTAGACACTCGTAAAACCTACCTACAATACAGTCTTAACTTTGATACTTGCTCATTATCAGATGATTTCCGATGGTATTTACCATCAGCTATAGCAGCCGAAATAGTAACAATAGCTATTTGATTAGTTCTTTAAATGTGCTGTTTCTGCAATTTGCGATTTACTAGATTTTGAACTGAACTCAAATAAGTGGGAGATGAGCCAAAATTCTCAGTTGTGATCATACAAGATCTTGATTCTACATTAGCATTATAAGTTAGCCTATGCACAAAAATATACTAAATGTTGTGATATTTGGTCGAAAATAGAGATAGAAAATTTGTAAAGCGGACAATTTTTGCTTCAGACTCTTGCTGTTTTGTCGATCGCCATTTGAATCTGCTTTGTCATTATGACCTGTACCAACCTCCGGATACGCTTCTGATACCGCCCCATAAACATTTTCATCGTTACGTCATTGTCAACATAATTTCACATCAGAGCCAACACAAAAATGTTAATACTGCTGAAAATAGATCAGTTAACAGAGTTCAGAGTGGCAGTTTTTATTTGACCAGATTTATTGCTTTATAACTGCATAAATTTTTCACTGATGTAATTTAAACTTATAAAACTATAGCAGAAATTTTTGCTTGTACTATTTTATTCAACTTTATGATTCAAATAAAATTATCAGCTTCACTTTTTTTTAGCAACTGAATTTTATATTTTATGTTAACACTAAAAAACAAATGTTTACGTATCATTCGATGAAAAAAAAAAAAAGAATCGGTATGAGAAACAGTTCAATAAATTATTTGACCAATCAAACAGTTCAATTATTTTTGTTAAAAACAACTTTTATTCTCAATTAAATTGTACGTTTAATAAACATTACTTACTTTTAAAATCGAAACTTTTCAATTATTGTTCATTAATAATGACATCTTTTTTTACATTTATTCTCAAAAAATTTAGCCAACAATTATCTGATTTCATTTATAACACACTACCTGAAAAAAGAGACAAATAAATGTTATTTTATGTTGTTTTTTTTTAAACAATGCATTAACAACTGCTAAAAGTTAAATATTTTTGTCTTAAATAATTAAAAAGTGAGTAATTTCAAAGTGTAAAATGCATAAAAGTTTAGTGATAACAAAATTCACCTTTAACAATTTGATTTGAGTTATGAAATTACCAAAAAAATTTATTGTATCATGCTAAAAGGCAGCTAAAACAAATAAAGAATGAATCTTCGACTTTTTTCTAAGACTGCTTAGATAAAAAGTGAAAGTAACTCATCGAAGTGACATAAACTGCAGATTGAGACACTGCTGTACATCAGTATAAGCCTTATAATACTTAACAACGATTATTTGTTGCTTAAGTGCATTAGTCTTATTTCACTGATTTGCTACGAAAAGCTGTCTTTAACAATGTTTGGTTTACCGAAACAAACAGTGACCAGTGATAAGGCTGTTTTCAAGCTTTATGAAAACAACAGCTATTTACAGACTATACATAGGTGTATTTCACTTTTAGTCATAACTTCGCAAAAAATTGCTCTCTTCAAAACAGCTTTCTTTTTTTTTTTCTCTTTTTTTTCTTGTTTGCGATTGTTTTACTTTATTGTTGCTGCTAAACAATATTATCAAGAGAAAAAAGCGATTAATAAGCGAAGAATTTTGAATATGTGTAACATTCGACAATGTTTTGCATTACAGTTATAGTTGTAATATAAATAGCAATTGCTTTCTGAATTTAGAAACTTATAGTTCATATTTACCTGATTGTTTGTCACATGGTCTATTGGAAGTTCAATCATTTGCACCTATTCATATACTTATTTTTGATCAACTTCAATAGAATTTTGGCGAAGAGAGGGAACGATGAGTTGCTAAAATCAGCAGTTGAAAGACCGGTACTTGTAATTATCACTTTGGTTTCATAAGAAGTCTAGAGTTAAAGTATACTCTTGAAATCAACTAAGATAAGCGCTTACAAAAGTCTATGTAAAATGGTAATAGAGCAGATTTTACAGGACTTTAGTATATTGTTCCATGAAATAATCAATAACTTGCCTTCTCAGTTACCTGACTTCAACGTTCCAATCACATACGGTATACCGAATGTTACGACAGGTAACTGTAGTACTGATGTTGTCTTAATATATACCAAAATACTTATGAAAGCAACAATTACTAAAAGCAACAGAAAGTTTGAATAGATGCACAACAAAATGTTTTTTTTCAGTTAAACGATTTAGGATATACATTTCTGGCAATGATAAGTTATTCTTTCAGAATGTATGAAAGATCTTCTTACAGTCGTCCCTACTTCGACGAATATCTCAACATGGACCGCAAATCAAACAGCTATTTTCACTCCAAGTTAGCTGCAATACTGATCTAATTGTCAACTTTAACAATTAAATCTTATTCGAACCCGAAAAGGAGAGTTGAATGCAGAAGAGCATTCAGATATGACTGAACAGATTGTTACATTATATGCTTGTTACAGTGCTCGATGCAAGTGGAAAGGTTTCTCCCGGTATCCTGAGAGGTAACACTAAACTAGTTGGCCTTTACAGCGAGTGTGCAGCGATTAATGCTCAAGTCGAGAAGGATCGGTGGATAATAGGCGGATACGGAAGGTTTGTCATTGTTTCACTACACATCCGCCGCAGTTGAGCATTTTATAAATGTATTCTTATTCAGCATATTTATATTACAGCTTTATATCTGATAATGAATAAATTTTAATGAGCATCCAAACTGTTACAACTATTGATTAGATTAAGTTACTTTGATCGTAGATTATAAGCAGATTTCCATCTTAAAGATGACTTTTTTGACTGATCAGGGATGTATTTAAAGCTAATATCATTCTTTAATATTAAGATAAATAGAGTTCTGAAAGACATAGCATACGGTTTAGAAAGGAACGTAGAAAAAAAAGGTTCTCAAAATTACCAGAAGTTTTGTCAAAAAGAATTATAATACCAGTAAGAGGTATACGCAAAAATTAGAAGTTAATTAAGTAATACAAAGTAGAAAAACAAGGTGTATTGAAAAGCTGTGAAATATCTTTATAGACGTTGTTGAATGCAAGTGAAAAGAAGACGTAACTTTGATAATTGAAAGTTTTGTAAATTTTTGAGTGTTCAAAAATGAAGAAAAATTTTATAGTAACAAAATTAAACAAATGCTGTTTTTACTATTCTAAGCACCGAAAAAAAAGAAAATAAGAAAACAGCATATGACTGCTCTTTAAGCTTTACGCTTTGCGGTTTTCAGCTCTTTCTTGTTACGTGTAACACTGTGATGAAAAAGTATTGTTCTTCTATATATTTTATTGATAATACAATGTAATACTTATGCTTTATTAAAAGGTAATAAACAATTCCCAAATAAATTTTTAAACCTCTTTTTATTTGAAACACAATTTTGGTCTTTAGAAATATAATTATTTGTTGTACGTCAACCAACGACCGCAATATCAAACTTCAGAAGTGTTTCAGCAGTGATACTCTACGCATATTTCAGACTGTTCATCGACGCCTCATTTCGCGATTACAGAGACCCGAGCTCTTCTTGTCATACCACTTCTATGATATTTCAAGGATGGACGCTTGATTTGTGTGTGCCCCTTCGTTGTTCAGACTCGACGAATTTGCTTGCAATTGGACGAGCTTGTAAACCGTCCATTCTTTGATCATATTATAATAATTCTTCTTTTTTCCAATTTACTGCTTGAGCAACCAACACTTTTACGTAGCAACGTTATCTGCCTTTTTTTTTAGTATCAGTAAACGGTTCGGTGCCAGTTTGCAGAGCATTATCGATCATTGAACAAGGTCGCAAGAAGGATTACCGAACTTGGATTGTTGTGTATGTTACCAACAACGTCTTCTCACAGATACCACTAACAGAAAGAAATAGCTGACGATAAAGCCGTATTTTTACAACAATTCAAAAGAAAAGAAAAAAAAATAGTTTAAATTTTTAAGTAAGTAATTTATTTAAAACTCAACAGTTTTGTGACATTTCAGGGCTGTTATGGGTTTGGTTGGCGTTGCTACATTTGCTGGCACCATTTATGACTACTTTCTTGATTCAGATTTTAAAGCACGTTATGCACACAGTAAGTAAATATAATTTAGAATGTTTCAGCTTTATTTCAATTTCACTTTTTCTTTAGCAGTTCTAAAGTTTCGTTGCTCTTTTTTCAGCACAAAAATAGAATTAAAATATTGAAAAACATCGATCAGTAAAATTGTGTTTTTTTATAACAGTATTTTTAACTATTAAATCTTTTTTTTTTTTGTTTAATATTTGGTTTACTTACAATTCAAGCTCTGTATAGATAATTTTCCAACAATCTTTTCAGCAAAGTGGGCGCAGTGCTTAGTGGCATTTTCTTTTTATGCGAACGTTTGCCAAATAATGGCTATGGACGATAAAAAGCCTGGCCAAATCGGTTCAATACATTTTATGAGATTTATTAGTTTATGTTGGGTCGTCCTTGGTCACGTTTGCATGATGAATGTTGTTGTTGATGGTAAGTGTGGACCTGATTTTTTGACGTCAAGAAACATGAATAAGTTTATATGCTTTATGTGATTTTGATTTCAACGACGTAATAGTTTTACGTAACAATATTACCAGTTTTTCTATTGAAAGCATATTTATTTACCAAAATATATAAATCTGGAAAATAGGCATACTAGTGAAATGTTAAAGGGATTTTAGAAGCATTTATTTTGTAGCTTTTTTTCAAGATCTTTTTTTCTACATTTATAAAAACTTTGGAGCGCATCAGGAAACACATTGGATACGATGGTCGGGATGAAAGATGTTACAACTCAATTTCTGACAAACGCGTACTTTGCTGTTGACACCTTCTTTTTCATGTCTGGTTTACTGCTTTCTTTCACATGGTTCAAGCAGTATAAGAAAAATCCAAGATACCAAATGTCCCTTCCTGCTTGGGTGATGTACTATGTCCACAGGTTTCTAAGGTAAATGATTATACATAGTTTGCTTCCTATGCAGATATGCAGTTTTTAAAGTTGCACTGTTTGAGAAAAAACATTTTAGCAAACGATAAATATCCTTCAAAAAAGAAATAGTTTTAATTTATTCATTTTAAAATTAAGTTTTCATAGTTATAGAAATTTTGCATTCGAATAATATAGCTTAAAACTGGTCTAACTGAAAACGATAATAGTATTCGTTTGTTTGAATCAGCATTGTTTTATTCAAATTTACTACTGGATTACTTGTCATAAACCTTTTTTTCTAACTAAAGATAATAACTTCAAAAATAAAATATTTTTTTCAGATGCTTATTAAGATTACTGTGTAACAATGCTTAAGAATCCGAATGCTAAAGAGAAAATTTTTTGCTTATAGTAAGACGTCAATTTT